TTCGAAAGATTAAAATTGTGCCAACAAGCTTTTAGACCACAAAGGTATGAAACTAGAAATAAACTGTCAAACAAAAAAGCTCACAAACACATGGAGGCTTAACAATATGCTCTAATTAATGAATGGATCAGTGACCATTTTAAAAGAGATCACACAATATATGGAGACAAATGAAGACAACTCAATACCCTAAAACCTTTGGGATGCAGTGAAGGCAGTTTTAAGAGGAAAATATATAGCAATACAGGCTTACCTCATGAAGCAAGAATAATCCCAAATGAACAGTCTAAACTCAAAATTAAGGAAACTAGAAAAAGAAGAACAAATAAGGCCCAAAGTCAGTAGAAGGAGGGACATAATAAAGACAAGAGTAGAAATAAATAAAATTGAGAAGAATAAAACAATAGAAAGAATCAATGAAACCAGGAGCTAGTTCTTTGAGAAAATAAAATAGATAAACCCCTAGCCAGACTTATTACAAAAAAAAGAGAGTGTACACACATAAACAGAATCAGAAATGAAAAAGGCAAAATCACTACAGACACCATGGAAAACAAAGAATTATGAGAGACTACTATGAAAAATTGTATGTCAACAAATTGGATAACCTAGAAGAAATGGACAACTTTGTAGAAAAATACAACCTTCCAAGACTGACCCAGAAAGAAACAGAGTATCTTAACAGACCAATTACCAGCAATGAAATCAAACTGGTAATAAAAAAATTACCTAAGAACAAAACTCCTGGCACAGATGGCTTCATATCTGAATTTTATGAAACATTTAAAGAAGAGCTAATACTCATTCTCCTTAAAGTTTTCCGAAAATTTAAAGAGGAGGGAATACTTCCAAACTCATTCTCTGAGGCCAGCATCATTCTAGTACCAAAACCAAACAAAGACATTATGTAAAAAGAAATTACATACAAAAATCCCCGATGAACATAGGTGCAAAAATCCTCAACAAAATATTAGCAAACTGAATTCAATACATCAAGAAGATCATGCATCATGACCAAGTCAGATATATTCCAGAGATGTAAGTATGATACAATATTTGAAAATCAATCAAACATACACCACATCAACAAAAAGGACAGAAAACACACAATCATCTCCATAGAGGCTGAGAAAGCTTTGATGAAATTCAACATCCATTCATGATAAAAACTCTCAACAAAATGAGTACAGAGGGTAAGGACCTCAACATAATAAAGGCCATATATAACAAGCCCACAGCCAACATCATACTTAAAAGCAAAAAGCTGAAAGCTTTTCCTCTACATCTGGAGCAAGACAAGGTTGCCCACTCTCACTACTTTTATTCAACATAGTGCTGGATGTCCTAGCCACAGCAATCAGACAACACAAAGTAATAAAAATCATCTAAATTGGTAAGAAAGAAGTTAAACTTATCATTTGTATGACATGATATTGTACATAGAAAACCCTAAATACTCCACCAAAAAACTGTTAGATATAATATCTGAATTCAGCAAAGTTGAAGGATACAAAATTAATACACAGAAATCTGTTGCATTCCTATATACTAAAAATGAATTAGCAGAAAGAGAAATCAGGGAAATAACTCCATTTACAATGGCATCAAAAAGAATAAAATACCTAGGAACAAAACTATCCAAGGAGGTGAAAGACCTGTACCCTGAAAACTACAAGACACTCATGAGAGAAATTAGACAGAAATAAATGGAAATACATCCCACACTCATGAATAGGAATTAATATTGTACTGGCACAAGCACACACCCATAGATCAATGGGACAGAATAGAGAGCCCAGATACAAACCCACACATACACGGCCAATTAATATATGATAAAGGAGCCATGGATATACAATGGCGAAAAGACAGCTTCTTCAAAAACTGGTGTTGGCAAAACTGGGCTGCTACGTGTATGAGAATGAAACTGGATTGTTGTGTAACTCCATACACAAAAGAAAACTCGAAATGGATCAAAGACCTGAATGTAAGTCATGAAACCATAAAACTCTTAGACGAAAATATAGGCAAAAATCTCTTGAATATAAACATGAGCAACTTTTTCCTGAACACATCTCCTCAGGCAAGGGAAACAAAAGCAAAAATGAACAAATGGGACTACATCAAACAAAAAAGCTTCTGTACAGCCAAGGGCACCATCAGCAGAACAAAAAGGAATCCTACAATATGGGAGAATATATTCATAAATGAGTTATCTGATAAGGGGTTAACATGCAAAATATATAAGGAATTCATATGCCTTAACACCGAAAAAGCAAGTAATCTGATTAAAAAATGGGCAAAGGATCTGAACAGACACTTCTCCAAAGAAGAAATTTGGATGGCCTAACAGACACATGAAAAGATGCTCCACATTGCTAATCATCAGGGAAATGCAAATTAAAACCACACTGAGATATCACCTCACACCAGTTAGGATGGCAAACATCCAAAAGACAAGAAACAACAAATGCTGGAGAGATGCAGAGAAAGGGGAAAACCCTGCACTTGGTGGGAATGTAAATTAGTTCAACCATTGTGGAAAGCAATATGGAGGTTTCTCAAAAAATTAACAATAGAAACATCAGTCGACCCAGTAATGCCACTTCTAGGAATTTACCTGAAGAAAACAAAATCCTTGTTTTGAAAAGATGTATCAACCTTGTGTTTATTGCTGCATTATTTACAATAGCCACAACGTGGAAGCATCCTAAGTGTCCATCAGTAGATGAATGGATAAAGAATATGTACATATACACAATTGAATATTAGCTATAAAAAAGAACAAAATATTACCATTTGCAATAACACGGATGGACCTCAAAGGTATTATGCTCAGTGAAATAAACCAGGTGGAGAAAGATATGATTTCATTTATTTGTGTAATATAAAAAACAAAAGAAAACAAAATGAATAAAATAGCAGTAGACTCATAGACACTGAGAAGTGACTTGTGGTTACCATGGGGAGTATTGGGATGGGTGGGTTAAGAGGAGGGTGAGAGGCATAAAACAGCACAAAAAATTTCAATCGTAATATTAGTTGGTCACAGGGATGGTAGTACAGCATGGAGAATATAGCCAATGACTCTTTAACATCTTCCTATATTGATAGACAGGAGCTGCATTAGTGGGGGTGAGATTTAATAATATGGGTAACTGTTGACCTACTATGTTATACACTTGAAACCAATATAAGATTGTGTATCAATGATACTTCAGAAAAAGAAAAGAACTTCATATAATCAAATTAGTCAATACTGACAGCAATACTCTAAGTATTAATAATTGTCCAAACTCTTGTTCCAGAAAAAAAGTAAAAATAGAAATACCAATCAACCCAGTAATGTCACTTCTAGGAATTTACCTGAAGAAACAAAATCCCTGTTTCCAAAAGATAAATGCACCCCTGGGTTTATTGCTGCATTATTTACAATAGCCAAGGTGTGGAAGCACCCTAAGTGTCCATCAATAGATGAATGGGTAAAGAAGATGTACATATACACAGCGGATAAGTAACTACTAAGTTATGGGTAAGTAATTACCAAGTAACAGGATGATATTTGAAAGAAAGTCGGTCTTAAATCGCAAGGTCTATAGTCTACTGGTCTGTGGTAGTGGAGAGAAATGTTGTATAACTGAATTCTGGTTAGTGGAATAAGTGAACTAAGCTACCTGACTAGAAATGCAGACCTAAAGAGCAATCAGGACATACCTTTGAAGTGGAATGCAAGACCTTCCCCTCTAATGGCGTGAATATATTTTAGAAGAGTTTTTTTTAGTATTAACATTCAGGGCTATCAGGTGAATATGAATGCTCAGAATAAATAGGAAAAGACTAATACATTATGTTGATTTCTGTACAAGCATTACCAACTAATTCCTTATAAGACGGTCAGTGGATAATCTAGGGTCTCTTTCAAGAAAGAACAGTCAATATCCCCTCAGTGTTGCTCGCAAATCTGTAAAACAGTGTTTTACCCTTTGAGTGTTAAACTACTAATGATCCCTAAGGGAGTTAATAGATGGAAAACTCATGCTTTCTTTCAGTAAAAACCTGAAATTAGGTTAAAACAAAGCAGAACAACAATCTCAAAACATTTGGTTTTAGCTGGTTGAACATACACAAGAAAGATGAGAAAATTATTTCTCAGCTTCATGGGTTCTCCAAAGTTGATTCTTAGTAGATACTAATTTGGTCAACATTTTCTTGATAATATTAATAACTCATTCTATACTTTGGTCATTGTAAAGTTTATTCTAGGTCGGCGACCCTCTTTTCCCGCCTTGCTTGTCAGTCACCTCTCCTCACAATTAATCTGGAAGGTCCAAGGAATGCAAACTTTTAGCATGGGCTTCAAGAAAATAAAGTTCCAAAAGCAGGTTAAAGTGCTGCAAAAATGTCACATCATAAATTTCTAAATAAAAAGTGCATTATTTTGAAAAAAAAAAGTACATTATTTTGGGGTATCTGCACTGCAGTTCTCTTGGCATAGGAAAGGAAGTACTGATATGAAGTAAACTATTATAATTAACATTTAAATAATAAGAAAATGCTTATTTCTCCAAATAGACTTTGAGAACCAGAAACAAGATGTTAATTTGAAAAATGATAAACAGACAAGTGTTTTTGAGTAAAATAAAGTGTAACTTAAAAGGAAAGAGTTCTGATTAATAAAAAGTAGCTTTTGTTTTAATTACAAGCTCTTTATTATTCGGCACTATATACATAAAGTATATTTTTAATTTTATATATAAACTCTAGGAAGGTATTCCAAATTCAAAATTATGATTACAAAGTAAAAGAGGGCACATCAAGGAAGCATGTGATTTAGTACCAAATTTACAATTACATATCTAGTAAGTCACAACTCTTTTATTCCAAAAATGTCCACATAGGAACTCTAACATGGATACTTACTAATCAAAAGAATAAATGATTTTCATTATATACAACATGGAAAGGGATGCAATACAAAGTAAACATTCTTCAGAATTTCTCTATGGAATAGCTAGTAATACAATAGAACCTAGAGCTGCAAGGATCTGTCCCAGTAGAATATTTATATTAAATATGCCTTTATTGCTTGCCTGGTAGAGATGATCTGTCAGCCATTTTTGATAGAAGGATGGCCCACAATAGACACCAGGAAAATTTTTTCGACTGCAGCCATATCCATAACTGGTAATTCCCATTACAAAAAATTGTTTCTGGTCTGGTAAGTAGCACATTAATGGTCCACCACTATCACCCTATTTAAAAAGTCCCAAAATAGCCTTAGTTACTTCTAGATGTCTTTATACAACAGCAAATCTGGAATGAATCTATCACAATCACATTAAACATAATTTACATAAATATATACTTTCAATATTATCTTCAAGTTTTAGAGATCTATAGAGTTTCAGTTTTACTCCAACTCAAACTGGAGGTATTTGTCTGGCCTGGTATTTAGAAGAACCATATAGCTGGTAGATAAACTTTCATCTGAATAGTTTTGAACCAGAATACTATAAACCAAATTGTTTGCATTTTTTAGTATAATTACTCAGGAGAAATATAATTTAAAAGTGTACTTCTAGTAGAATACTATTAGAATACTTCTGCCTAATGCCATGTGTGAAAAGTATAATTTTAAGATATAAGAGGGATTCTTTTAGGTGTGTGTATGGTTTGCTAGCTAATGGAGAGGAGTAAACTGGCATCTTGCAAGAGATGGCATCTTTCTAAGTGTTGACAGTGGCTGGTGCAGGATAGCAGGAATAAATAGGGCTAAGCCTCTCAATAGTATTATAAATCACAAATGTCTGTCATAGTTCCTATAAGGCTGTCAATGTACCAAAACATAACCAAGGACTACTAATCTCTCAAAACAAGGACACTGAAATAACTCTTCCAGTATCTAAAGGTTAAGGATCGTGTTCCTAAAGTGTTTTCAAATTCTCTATATAAGATAGGCACTGAATAATTATTTTTTGACAATAAGTGCATTTCAATTTAATTAGATTCTTTACTATTTTACTCACCAAGATTTTTAAGGGAAAGGACACAGGAAAAATAAGCCCTGAGTTGCAGAAATCAGAAGGAGTAGGAAAAGATCAGAGCATGGGGTACTGTTTGGGAGTGAAGTGCTGGTAAATTTAGAAGTAGGAAAGACAAGGAATAAAGAAAGATTCAAAAGCACAAGAGCCAAAACAAAAACAGAGATAAATTTGACTTCATAAAAAATAAAAAGGTTTTGTGCTACAAATAATGACATCAGGAAAGTGAAAAGACAGTCCACAGAAGGGGAGAAAATATTTGCTGACCATATATCTGGTAAGGGACCTGTATTCAGAATATGTAAAGAATGTTAATGACTCAATAAATAAAAGATAAATAACAATTTTAAAATGGGCAAAGGATCTAAATAGACATTTTACCAAAGCGGATACACAAATGGCCAATAAGCTTAGCATCAAAGATGCTTAACATCATTAGTCATCAGAGAGATGTACATTAAAACCACAAGGAGATACCACTTCACACCTGCAAGGGTGGCTATAATCTAAAAGACAGACAATACAAATGCTGGCAAGGATATGGGGATATCGGAGTGCTCACACATTGCTGGTGAGAAGGTAAAATGGCGCAGTCACTTTGGAATATAGTTTAGCAGTTCTTCAAAATGTTTGATATTGACTTGGCAATTCTACCTCTAGGTGGAATTTTGAAGAGAAATGAAAACATATGTCCACACAAAATATTATACTTGAGTGTTTATGATAACATTGTTTGTAATAGACCTGAAGTGTAAATAGCTCACATGTTCATCAACCACTGAATGGATGAATAAAATGTGGCATGTCCATTCAATGGTATATTATTCAGCAATAAAATTAGTAAAGTATTAATACATGCTACAGTGTGGACGAACCTTAAAAATCTAGTAATAAGTGAAAGAAGCAATAATAAAAGACCACATATTGAATGATTCCATTCCCATGATATTTCCCTTAGTAGATGAATCTACAGAGACTAGTGTTTTCCTAGGGCTGGAGGTGGATGGGAGGAAAATGGGAAGTAACTTACAATGAGTAGAGATTTGTTTTGGAGTTGAAAAAAGCATTCTAAAATTGGATTATGATCATGGGTATACTATCCATAAATATACTAAAAGCCCATTGAATTGTATACTTAATTTTTTTAGTATTGATGAATTTATTTTTAATATTCATTGATACATCTTAATAACTGGTTATATTCTCAGTGCCACTGTGCACATCTCTCATTAACTTGTTTTAAATTCTCTCATTCCCCCACAGATGAAACTATCCTGTTTGGATCCCTGGATGCCTTACTTTTTTTATCATTCACCTGAACTTTCAGGTAGGCAAATACTCTAATTTCAAATTCCACACTGAAACTAAAACCAAACAAAATAAACTATTGTGTACCAACAACCCAACTGAGAACTATTTCTTCTGAAGCCACCAGGACTTTTCAGTTACACATGATTATGGATAGGAAGTTTAGAAGGTTTACATAAAATCCAGAGTGTTTTTATTAACAACCAAAACCAAAGGGTAATATTGCCATTTCCCTATAAAGCTTCATCCTCTCCTAAAGTTTATTTTCCTCCATCCATTTCCCCATTTCTCCTTTCTGAACTCTTTCTCTTAAACAAAAGTTAGAAAAGCATAATTTGCAAGGTCAAATTCCATTGAGTTGTTATATACTTTAAAGGATGAACTGTATATATATGTGTATATATATATATAAAACTCAATAAAGGTGGTAATTAAAAGATTCAAGACAGATTTTGCCTATTGCTGGCTATGACTGTAGAAACTAAGGAAACAGGAAAACAAGAGGATTTGGATTGTTGGAATAGTTAAAAAGCAGAAAAAGGAATTTAGCACTTTTAGACTTGAATTATGCCTTCACAGAAAGTGATCAAAGGCCTGTTCAGGTTCCCATCTGGCTTTAGAAAATATTTCTAAGGAAAATTACTTGGTCTTACCCTGCAAGTATCAAAAACTCCATCTTCATCACCTGCACAAAAGGAAGTGCTAGGAATTATGTTTCCATAACTCTTCTCAGAATTACAAATGTTTCGAGAAATATAATGTACTTCTGCTTCCTGTAACATATTTGTAACATTACCTGTTAACAACAAAAAAATCAATTATTTTGGAGGACAGGCATTTTGACAGTGATATAAAATGTTCGTGTTGAATAGGTTTTCTTTCCAAAATGACTGATTCAACAATTATGTAAAATGGTATTCATATGTGTATGTACGTGTATATATGCCAAGGAAGATTGTGGAAGGATGTTCACCAAAATGTTAATGACAGGTGCCTCCAGATGATAGGAATTTCAGGTTATTTTTAGTGTTATTGTCATGTATGTCTTGAAGGTCTCACAAAACGACCTATTGTTTTTACAAAATAAAGCTGTATAAAAATTGTTGAGGACTAAAGAGGTAAATGTTAGGTCTATCTTTCTTATGTTGCAAATAATTTTTATTATATTTTCTAATGATTCTAAGTCTTGAAGGATGGTGAACATGACAATAAAACATTCATAATTCTTATACTCCCCTGACTTCTCTGCTAATTCCTGAACATAAAGTGGTTCTTTGCTACAGAAAAGATAGGAAAATATAAGACAACACTTCAGGAACCATTGAAGAACACATTATTGTAAGATTTATCCATAGAAAACCTGCTCTAACAGCTTCTGATCCCATCAGTCTGTCTGACTTGCAGCTGTTATGGGTGATAGCTGAATCTGTGGTGTGCCCCACATCTTCCCTAACTTTTCTAGTAAGAGACTCTGTCCCCTTGGCTGCAGATGAGTGGATGACTCAGTGTTCCATTCACAGAATTCCATTCTCCTGATGACACTCATTGCTCTCAGGGTGACTACATTTGGTATAAGTCTAGTCAGTTAAAACACTTCTCCAGCAGTCTTTTTAACTGGAGCTGCCAGAGAAGAACCTTTCACACCATAGTCACGTGTCTGTTTAGATGTAAGTCCAAAGCAGCCTGCGGCCATAATTCCAGCCTCCTGAGAACAAGCAGCCTGAGAAAGTAAGTCAACACGCAGAGAATAGGAATAGGAAACAAATGTAGTGGATCCCAGGTGCGTTCAGATTCCTGGATCGAGCCTTCCTAGAGGCCAGACACATTCTGCCCTTTATTTGGGAACCATTTCAAGTAATACTGGGTACCTAGAAGAGAATTAATACTAGGTACCTAGAAGAGAATATATGTACCATACAAGTTATAGAATAAAGTAACCAAATGAAGACCTGTGAACTTACTGCCCAATTTATGAATCTGAACAGTTCTAATGCCAGTGTGGTATTGGTAGAGGGCTATTCAAAATGACCAGAGATTTTCAAAGTGAATAGAAAAGAGAGTCCAGAAACAGATGTCTGGATTTTCTATTCTGTTACACTGGTCACTGAGAATATCCTTGCTTAAATATAACACTGACTAATTACTATAGCTTTAGAATGAACAATTTCTGGATGGCAACTCCTCCAACGTATTTTTCTTCTGTAGAAGTGCTTTGACGTGTTAGGTCTTTTACAATGAGCTTTTCAATTGTCTCAAATTTGATGTTAGGGTTTATTATCCCGTTTTTTTTTTTCAGGTAAAATTGACATCTTTATAATACTGAGTCTTTGAAATCCATTTTCTTAGGTATTTATCAATGTCTTTTAAAAATGTACTAGGAATCTTTTTTCCATAAAAGGCCTGCAATCTCTTGTTAGATTTGTTTTTAGCTACCTAATCATTTGCATATTTATTGTAAATGTAAATTTCTGTTCACTTTCTTTTCTAACATTTTATTATGAAAAATTTCAAACACAAGCACAGATGAAAGAATTTCTCAGGAAACAGCCCATATGCCCATTCCCAGATTCTTTAGTACCATTGTTTCCTCTGTTAACTGCTTTTCTTTTTTTTTCCTATAGCTATTTGGCAACTTTTTATTTAGATAAAATTTCAAAGTTATATATAGAAAAGTAGCAAGAATAGTACAGAGAACTGTCAAATACCCTTTACTCAGAATCACCAGTTTTTTTACTTTTTGTCACACATTGTATTCCGCTGGTGTGTGTGTATGTGTATACATTTTTCTGAGTGAATGGCAGACATTGTGCCTGTGTCCTTAAATATTCTAGTATGTCCATTTATCAAGATTGGGAAATTTAACAGTGGTTAAATAACATACTATGTTCCAACTCACATTTAATTTCTATGTATTTTTGGATTTTCCAGATATGTTTCTGTTACCTATTTGTAGTTAATATCATTGATAGTTTAATTCCAACCACTGACCTACTTTCTGTCTTTGTCTTTTCTGGACATCATATAAATGAATCACAAAATATGCGGGCTTTTGTGTCTGTTTTATTTCACTTAGCATAATGTTGAAGCTTATATCAGTACTTCATTGCTCTTTACGGCTTGATAATATTCCACTGTATGAATATATAACACTTTATCTCATTGTTTTGATACATCTTAATAACTGGTTATATTCTCAGTGCCACTGTGCACATCTCTCATTAACTTGTTTTAAATTCTCTCATTCCCCCACAGATGAAACTATCCTGTTTGGATCCCTGGATGCCTTACTTTTTTTATCATTCACCTGAACTTTCAGGTAGGCAAATACTCTAATTTCAAATTCCACACTGAAACTAAAACCAAACAAAATAAACTATTGTGTACCAACAACCCAACTGAGAACTATTTCTTCTGAAGCCACCAGGACTTTTCAGTTACACATGATTATGGATAGGAAGTTTAGAAGGTTTACATAAAATCCAGAGTGTTTTTATTAACAACCAAAACCAAAGGGTAATATTGCCATTTCCCTATAAAGCTTCATCCTCTCCTAAAGTTTATTTTCCTCCATCCATTTCCCCATTTCTCCTTTCTGAACTCTTTCTCTTAAACAAAAGTTAGAAAAGCATAATTTGCAAGGTCAAATTCCATTGAGTTGTTATATACTTTAAAGGATGAACTGTATATATATGTGTATATATATATATAAAACTCAATAAAGGTGGTAATTAAAAGATTCAAGACAGATTTTGCCTATTGCTGGCTATGACTGTAGAAACTAAGGAAACAGGAAAACAAGAGGATTTGGATTGTTGGAATAGTTAAAAAGCAGAAAAAGGAATTTAGCACTTTTAGACTTGAATTATGCCTTCACAGAAAGTGATCAAAGGCCTGTTCAGGTTCCCATCTGGCTTTAGAAAATATTTCTAAGGAAAATTACTTGGTCTTACCCTGCAAGTATCAAAAACTCCATCTTCATCACCTGCACAAAAGGAAGTGCTAGGAATTATGTTTCCATAACTCTTCTCAGAATTACAAATGTTTCGAGAAATATAATGTACTTCTGCTTCCTGTAACATATTTGTAACATTACCTGTTAACAACAAAAAAATCAATTATTTTGGAGGACAGGCATTTTGACAGTGATATAAAATGTTCGTGTTGAATAGGTTTTCTTTCCAAAATGACTGATTCAACAATTATGTAAAATGGTATTCATATGTGTATGTACGTGTATATATGCCAAGGAAGATTGTGGAAGGATGTTCACCAAAATGTTAATGACAGGTGCCTCCAGATGATAGGAATTTCAGGTTATTTTTAGTGTTATTGTCATGTATGTCTTGAAGGTCTCACAAAACGACCTATTGTTTTTACAAAATAAAGCTGTATAAAAATTGTTGAGGACTAAAGAGGTAAATGTTAGGTCTATCTTTCTTATGTTGCAAATAATTTTTATTATATTTTCTAATGATTCTAAGTCTTGAAGGATGGTGAACATGACAATAAAACATTCATAATTCTTATACTCCCCTGACTTCTCTGCTAATTCCTGAACATAAAGTGGTTCTTTGCTACAGAAAAGATAGGAAAATATAAGACAACACTTCAGGAACCATTGAAGAACACATTATTGTAAGATTTATCCATAGAAAACCTGCTCTAACAGCTTCTGATCCCATCAGTCTGTCTGACTTGCAGCTGTTATGGGTGATAGCTGAATCTGTGGTGTGCCCCACATCTTCCCTAACTTTTCTAGTAAGAGACTCTGTCCCCTTGGCTGCAGATGAGTGGATGACTCAGTGTTCCATTCACAGAATTCCATTCTCCTGATGACACTCATTGCTCTCAGGGTGACTACATTTGGTATAAGTCTAGTCAGTTAAAACACTTCTCCAGCAGTCTTTTTAACTGGAGCTGCCAGAGAAGAACCTTTCACACCATAGTCACGTGTCTGTTTAGATGTAAGTCCAAAGCAGCCTGCGGCCATAATTCCAGCCTCCTGAGAACAAGCAGCCTGAGAAAGTAAGTCAACACGCAGAGAATAGGAATAGGAAACAGAAATGTAGTGGATCCCAGGTGCGTTCAGATTCCTGGATCGAGCCTTCCTAGAGGCCAGACACATTCTGCCCTTTATTTGGGAACCATTTCAAGTAATACTGGGTACCTAGAAGAGAATTAATACTAGGTACCTAGAAGAGAATATATGTACCATACAAGTTATAGAATAAAGTAACCAAATGAAGACCTGTGAACTTACTGCCCAATTTATGAATCTGAACAGTTCTAATGCCAGTGTGGTATTGGTAGAGGGCTATTCAAAATGACCAGAGATTTTCAAAGTGAATAGAAAAGAGAGTCCAGAAACAGATGTCTGGATTTTCTATTCTGTTACACCGGTCACTGAGAATATCCTTGCTTAAATATAACACTGACTAATTACTATAGCTTTAGAATGAACAATTTCTGGATGGCAACTCCTCCAACGTATTTTTCTTCTGTAGAAGTGCTTTGACGTGTTAGGTCTTTTACAATGAGCTTTTCAATTGTCTCAAATTTGATGTTAGGGTTTATTATCCCGTTTTTTTTTTCAGGTAAAATTGACATCTTTATAATACTGAGTCTTTGAAATCCATTTTCTTAGGTATTTATCAATGTCTTTTAAAAATGTACTAGGAATCTTTTTTCCATAAAAGGCCTGCAATCTCTTGTTAGATTTGTTTTTAGCTACCTAATCATTTGCATATTTATTGTAAATGTAAATTTCTGTTCACTTTCTTTTCTAACATTTTATTATGAAAAATTTCAAACACAAGCACAGATGAAAGAATTTCTCAGGAAACAGCCCATATGCCCATTCCCAGATTCTTTAGTACCATTGTTTCCTCTGTTAACTGCTTTTCTTTTTTTTTCCTATAGCTATTTGGCAACTTTTTATTTAGATAAAATTTCAAAGTTATATATAGAAAAGTAGCAAGAATAGTACAGAGAACTGTCAAATACCCTTTACTCAGAATCACCAGTTTTTTTACTTTTTGTCACACATTGTATTCCGCTGGTGTGTGTGTATGTGTATACATTTTTCTGAGTGAATGGCAGACATTGTGCCTGTGTCCTTAAATATTCTAGTATGTCCATTTATCAAGATTGGGAAATTTAACAGTGGTTAAATAACATACTATGTTCCAACTCACATTTAATTTCTATGTATTTTTGGATTTTCCAGATATGTTTCTGTTACCTATTTGTAGTTAATATCATTGATAGTTTAATTCCAACCACTGACCTACTTTCTGTCTTTGTCTTTTCTGGACATCATATAAATGAATCACAAAATATGCGGGCTTTTGTGTCTGTTTTATTTCACTTAGCATAATGTTGAAGCTTATATCAGTACTTCATTGCTCTTTACGGCTTGATAATATTCCACTGTATGAATATATAACACTTTATCTCATTGTGTTTTTTTTGTTATTAAGAGTAATGTTGCCAGGAACATTCAAATACAGGTTTGTGTGGACACCCGCTATCATTTCTCTTGGGCATATATCTAGGAATGGAATTTCTGATTCATGATAACTGTGTATTTACATTTTTGAGGAACTGCCGAACTGTATTCCAAAGCAGCTGCACCATTTTTATATTTTCAACAGCAGTGTGTGAGGTTCCATTTTTTTCACATCCTTGTCAATACTTACTAACTTTTTGATTATCCTCATCCCTGTGGGTGTGACATATGTTAACTTTTTAAATTATGTTTTCTAACTATCAGTAATATATAGAAATGATATAGATTTTGGTATATTGGTTTCATATCTGGCCATTTTACTAGACTTAATTCTGATGGATTATAGGTTATTTTTTTATGTAGTCATGTGATCTGTAAAAAATTAATGTTTTGTTAGGCCCTTTCTCCATTGTATGTCTTCTGCATCTTTTTCTAGTATTACTATACTTCCTGGAAACTCTATTCCAATACTGAATATAAGTAGTGAAGGTGGGGAAAATAATTCCTGATTTTAAAGGAAATATTTTTCTATGATAATGATGCTTGCTGTAGTTTGGGGGTAGATAACCTTGGTCAGGTCAAGGATGTTCCCTTCTGTGTTGTTGTGAGCTTTTAACAATGCTTCTATCCCTATTGAGATAATCATATATTTAAAAAATCCTTTAATCAGTTAAAATGGTCAATTATATTAAGAGACTTCTAATATTAAGCCACCTTTGAGTTCCTTAGATACACTTGTCTATATTAAATTGTTTATCCTATTCTTTTTTTTAATGTTTTTATTTTATTTTTTTAGTTTGGTATCATTAATATAATGATATATTGTCACATGGACAAAACTGTAGTTACTAGATTCACTTGTTTATCCTATTCTTTATAGATTCGGTGTGCTGATAATTTGTTTGGAATGATGCACTTATGATACTGGCCTCTCTTGTATTATACTTAATCTGACTTGGTCATCAAGATGATTACTGTCCTCATACACTGAGTTGGGGCATGTTCTCTCTTTTTGGATTCTTTGATATATTTCTATAGGTTTAAATAATCTGTCTCTGGTAATTATGGTGGACTTCTTCTGCATTCTCATGTTTTATTTTTGAAAACAATATTTCAGTTACTGATTTATTTCCTTTACTCTCCATAGGACTATTCTTTTTTAGTCAGTTTGGGTTGGTTAGAATTTTCTAGGGATTTATCCATTTTATCTAAGCATTACAATTCAGAACATTACATTGTTTAAAGTATTAATTACCTTTTACTTCATAATATTATTTATATTTGTGCCTTGTCTCCTTCTCTCATCAGTCTTACCAGGAGTCTGTTGTTTTTTTCAACAATTGTAGCTTTGTTGGTCCTCTTTTTCCTGATTTTATTTTCTATCATTAATTGCTGTGCGTATCTATTTCTTTTCTTCTACTTTCTGTGGGTCATGTAATGTTCTTTAAAGCTTTTTTTTTAAGTTGGACATTAATGCATAATGTTCAGCCTTCTCTAGTAGGTCAAATATTTATTCTTCCACATGACTGAACCTAAAAGTATACTTATTTAGAGCTTTAAGTTTCCCTTTATTACCTTAGTTGCAACACTCAAGTTTTGCTATGTAGTATATACATTATGGATTAGTTTTTAATTTTTTAAATTTATTCTTTAAAATTGAACTATCCTTGTACAATCTTAAATAAGTTTCAAGTATACATATACAACACAGTGGTTCAATAGTTACCAATATTATTAAATTCTTACCCTCTCTAAAGCAGTTCCTGTCTGTCAACACAGGAAGATGTTACAGAATCACTGGCTGTATTCTCCACATTGTACTACTATCCCTGTGACCAACTTATAATTGAGAATTTTTGTGCCGTTTAATCTCCCTCACCCTTCCCACTCACCCCTTCCATCTCCTTCCCCATGGTAACCACCATTCCCTTCTCCGTGTCTATGAGTCTACTGCTGTTCTGTTCATTCTGTTTTGCTTTGTTTTTATATTCCACAAATAAATGAAATCATGGTATTTGTCTCCCTCTGCCTGACTTATTTCACTGAGCATAATACACTCTAGGTCCATCCATGTTGTTGTAAATAGCAGGATTTTTAAATTTTTTATGGCTGAATAATATTCCATTGTGTATATGTACCACCTCATCTTTATCCATTCATTTATTAATGGACACTTAGGTCGCTTCTGTATCTTGGCTATTGTAAATAATGCAGCAATAAACATAGGAGTGCATATATCATCAAAACAGGGATTTTGTATTCTTTGGGTAAATTCCTAGTAGAATTACTGGGTTGATTGGTATTTCTATTTTTAGTTTTTTGAGGAACCTCCATACTGCTTTCCACAGTGGCTGTACCAGTTGATATTCCCACCAACAGTGTAGGAGGGTTCCCATATCTCCACATCCTTGCCAACACTTGTTATTTCCTGTCTTTTGGATAATGGCCATTCTGATTTGTGTGAGGTGACTATCTCATTGTGGTTTTGATTTGCATTTCCCTGATGATTAGCCATGTGAAGCATGTTTTCATGTGCCTTATGGCCATCTGTATTTCTTCTTTAGAGAAATGTCTGTTCAGGTCCT